GCTGCCGACCCGCCCCCCCTGCCGATGGAAGAGAGAGACGAGCGGAGGGGTGCATCCGCCCCTCCTGCCTGAGATATTGACAACAATGGCTCATGAAGAAACTGATCAACCTGCAGCATCAACCAGCCGAGTCATCAAGCCACAAAATACAGCTCGTACTGCTGCCAATCATGCTCGTTCCAGAACCGAACTACAAGATTTATACAGGGAGTCCAAGATCCAACCTGAGGAAACCCTGGCTGTGTGGTTGGGACGTCTGGTCGTAGAGCTTGGATCTAACCTGCTGAATCAAGAGGAAGCAAGCTTCCTAGTAAGACAAGCTTCGTAGAGTAGAGGACATGTCACTGATATCGACATGGTGACGATGAACGTTCACTGGCCTATTCCCATTCCAGCGCTTGTAGCAGGACTGATTGAACAAAAAGCTCACGAATGGCGCACAGAACAGCCGGAGCATGTTAACGCGGAACAGCACGGAAAAGGGCTCGGGTCGCTCCCGGCCCGCACACATATATGAAGAGCCTTGACAGATGTTACATCTATGGGACTCTGGCACTGTGCACCCAATGATGGTAGCAGCTGAGAATGAGGGAGCTTCCCCACCCCAGGTGCCTGTGCCAGCCATACATGAACCTGGCTGGGGCTGCACCACACGGTTTTAGGTGCCAGAGCATGGGGACCTCATCAGCTGAAAGGTTTCATTCCTGTCAGCAGGTTGAAAATCCCCTTGTACAGCCCCAGCCACATTCACGCAGGGCTGCACTACACAGCTTTCACCCTGCTGGAACATGGGGAGACCATCAGCTGTCTCAAATCTAATATGCCAACTACTAAAGAATTTTTAAAAAATCAAAATTGGTATAAGACTTAATTTGTTTTGCTATGTTGTTAAATTCTTAAATTTAACAAAAGTAAAGGATCCACCTATACATTTTTGAGGGTTATGACAAAGGTTCAGATGATGACTAGGATTTCTATTGCTTTAAAAAGGGCTTAATCTTAGAAACTAAATTATAATACTATTCCAGTAGATAGTAATGTATATTTTTAAAGAATATTTTGCCTTATGAAGAGTCCCATGGATGACATCTTGCTTTAATCTCTTAATCACTGGATTAGAGTCTGTAAATTAGTATTAAATGCAAATGCTAAGATTATGAAGGTCAATGTCAATAAGCATTTGTGTGATACTCACTGCTTATTGCTACTCTTGCCAACTGAATACCTCTAGAAAAAAATGCTGTACCTCAGAGTGCTTCATGAAAGCTTTCTCATTTAAATGGGTAACTGAAAGCTAGAATTACAACATTGTTTATATGGATTATTACTGGTGGGAAATTAATGGCACTGACCTTGGCGAGCATGCATGAAAAGACAAACAACCTTACTTTCAGTAGTCAACAAGTTTATTTACCAATCTGTGCAACTCCCATAAATGAATACTAGAAAGCAAATGAACAATATTTTTAATAATGATGCATAATATCAAAATTGGACTTTTTTCTTGAAGATTCTAATTATGGATAAGAGAGAGCTATAAACACATTTAGACCATTCAATCACTTGAAAAACCGTTGTAAAGTACAAAAACACTTGGACCTTAATAACAAATCTGCATGAAGGCTGATATTTGCCTCATAAAGAAACGGTTGGGTGCATGTCCTGTCTGTTCTGATATGCCCCACTTGCCCTCAGGGTTTGTTATGTTATAAAATGAAATATGCTTACTTTTTTAATCAAATAAGAACACAGAAAGCCTTTTATAGCCACTAAGTCCTTCTTAATTTAATCGCCATAGCAGAATCCATTTACAAACTTATTATGTGCCTTGCAGTTACTCTACCTGTTCACACAAAGAAGTAGAGATGAAACTGTGTTCATTTTTCAATCAGTATAAAAATCACAGCTCTCTGAGTACTAGGAGTAAACTTACCCAATGCCACACCTATGGTTTATATTTGCAGTATGCAACTATTTTTCAGAAATAGTTTATCATCAATATACCAAACAGAGATAACTCATCTAAATTAGAGGATACAAAACCACTGTTCATCTGAAAACAGTTCGTTTGCTTCTATTTTGAACATTTGCAAACAGATCTTTAAACGAAAAAGCATCACCTATAAATATTAAGTTATTCTTACCAGTCAATGCTCAATTTTCTTGCTTTCAGCAACTGACTTTCTATCCAATTTGGTCTTTGTTGTTGAATGCTCAATATAACCTTCTGGGTCATTTGTTCAGGAGTACTTTTCTGTTTTCCTATAATACTTTCCAAACATGCACAAACTAAACTGAGTTTCTCTTTGCTCCATCTGTCAAGTGTTGCACCTGTTAAAAGTTCTGCAGTGTTTCCATCCTCAAATATCCGACATATAATTACAATCAAGTTCCAGACAAGCAGACCAGCTTTCTTCAATTCAACAAAGTTTTGTGACATTTTTCTCTCAGCCAGAAAAAAGAAGTACTTAATTGGGGGAGGTAAACATGCAATCACTGTAGGTAACTTGCTGATTATAATAGATACTGCCTGAGCTGCAAGCCTTGTGAAGCCTTAAAAAGAGAAAAAAAGGAAAGGAGATATGATTAATATTCTGGTTCTACTACAGTTCAGTTATGAGTGTACAGGATAACTCCTAACTTTATTTTGTACTGAAAATGGCTGAGAAGATTTACTCAACAATGTAGCTAGACATCTACTGTACATTACTGCATATTAATCTTCAAAATGTATTTAGATATCACAGATTAAATTGAAAATAACAAATCAAGAAAATTAAGAGCTAAGGTTGCTATTTCATTTATAATTAGACCTGCTACGTTCAGTTATTATAGCACAACTGATAGAGATGTTTGTTCATTGTTCTGACTAATTTGAAATTAAATAGCACACAAGGTTGACATTAAAATTGCTGTATATTTTTTGTTTTAATCCGTACTGCAGGGAAATATGTTATATCTCTCAGGAGTATTGCAGTCTACTCATAATGTTTTGGTTATTTCTCCAACCCCCACCTTCTTAAATCACACAAAAGTACCCTGTCCCCATAACACCAATTGTTCTAGAGTTTCCATAATATAGGCAAGATGTATATTGGTACAAGTAACCTGGACCACTCAGGTTGCTTTATGTGACCAGTATATTGTGAAGGGGTGGTAGAGAATCACAGAATAATGCCATGATTCTGGTGCTAAGCAATTTCTGAAGAATGGCTTGCAAGATCTAAGATTTTAAAGACAGGGTTGTTCAGCCACAGGTGATCACAAAAAGATGCATGAAATCATCTTTACTCTTCAGCATCTTTAAAAATATTGACTACTATGTATATCTATATTAATAATCTGTATGCTAATTTTAATGCAATGCAACTATACATTTTTGTAGACTAAAGTTTCAGTACACAATGTACTCATAATGTATCTAAATTAAAACATGCTGATTAAAAATGTGATAATTATGAGATCTGAAGTTACAAAATCACAGCATTTTCAACTGGTCAAGAAGCAAAATCTTGAACATGGTTTTAAATTTTTCTGTAATTATAAGAAATAACTAGAATTTTTTTAAAAGCCTATGTGTACAAGGTTGAAAGCATCAAGAAAATGTACCAACATGTAATATCAACAATTTAATTAATACTTTTTAGAAAAAGATAGGAAACTAGCTTGAGAACAACTATATTTGTTGTCAAGCCATACAACTCATCAGCTATAATTCTTCAGTGTTGATGTTCTCATTAAACAGATAACAAGCTCTTATGACAGTTTATATAACACATCACCTACACTTCCCAGATTCTTTTTTCTTCAGTTCTCTAGGTTTATATTTCCATTCCTTTGGAATTGTCTTCAGCAAACTTTCAGGAACTATATGTTTATGCTGACAGGTTCCATAGTTCTCTCTTGCTTCCCATGATTGCATCAAAGAAATTATCTGCTTCACTATACCCTTGACCGAATTAATCAAAGTCAGCTTCAAGCATCTGATAACCTCTGGCTCTGATTCACCACAACTTGAAACTTCAGAGAAAAGAAAAACATTATACATTCAATATGCATACAGCCATTTGTGCATGTTTGATTATTTCAGAAAGAGATATTTTAAAACCCTGGTGAAAAGAAATGTAAAATTATTGCTCATAACAATTTCTTCATGGTTATCATCCTGTAACAAATTAGAAAAACATTACAAAGCAAAATAGGCCTGTATGACTTAATATTATACTGGAGGGTGTATTATAGTATCATTAGTTTCTCCTTTTTTCATTGTTCTTCTTCGTAACTTGAAGATCAAAACTGAACCGATACTGCCCATTTTCTTGTTCAGTACACTTTTAACTTATTTGCCTTTAATGGAGCAACCTGACGTGGCTGCTTTCATTTAATTCCTTGCCTCCGCACCTCAATCATCAATAACATCAACATAATACTAAAAATAACATTTAGAAAATAGTATGGATTGTTACTGTTTGATTACAAAGCAGCAGACAGAAAAAGAATGGAGTTTTTCCATGACAAAAGGATCAGTATAAAAAACTGAAGTCTCACAAGAGAATGACTTGATTTTATCATAAATCATTTCCTGCAAAGGAGAAAGGATGCAGAGAGTGTATCAGATAGCATTCTTCTCTTAGAGAAGAATATCTTAGAGAACTTACATATAATCTTCAGAAAATGGGGCATGCTGCAACCCTCAAACTATGTGTTATATAGTGCTTACATGAAGTTCCACCAGAAGCTGGAAGTGACAAATACAGAAATTTAGGTCTTTTAGAACTAGTGGTGCACCTACATCAGTTGCATATTGGATTGGCACCAATAAAAGGGAAATTTATGTTATCAGCTATTGGCTTCTTTGGGCCATTGTAGCCAGTAATGCTTACCGATACCTGGACACCTGGCTCCCTATCCCCTGTAGGGCCAGGGCCCCCAGATGCCTGGGCTTCCCTCAGGAAATGGCAGGTTTCCCCTTGCAGGTGGGCATCGTTCTAGCCTGCAAAGGGTCCTGCTTAGGGCTGCTGCCAATGAGATGCGGGGGATGCTGTGTGGATGTGCATGTGCATGTGCATGTACGGCCAGGAACACAGCTGGGCACTGTGAAGAGGAGCTCCCTGCAGGTAAATCTCTGAAGGGGAAGGGGCGTGGGGGAGGGAAGGGGCATGAGGGGGCAGATTGAGGCCCCCACAGTGAGGGAGGAAGTGGGTCAGGGGTTGGGGGTGCTGCCCAGGCAAGGTCATGTACGAGACCTGGGTCTGGGGCGGGGAGTGGGATGGAGCCATGGGTGGCTCATCCCCAGATTAATGTGCAGGGAGGATGTGGGCTGCTCACTGCAGCCTTGGGGCTTCCTGCCCTGCTGCCTTGCCCTTGGGAGCCCCACGCTGGCCATGCACCATCTGCCTGCTCGGCAGCAGTGGAGGTGGCGAGTTGTGCCTCCTCCTGATGGGCGGGCTGAGGATGTGTGGCTGGCACAGGGCTTCCAGGGCAAAGACAGCAGGGCAAGGAGCCTTGAGCCTGCAGCGAATGTGCTTTACTTCAAGTGGAGACACTTTTAAGTGGAGCAGAACTGAGCCGGGCGATTGGCTGGTAATCAGCTGGGAATCGGCTATCAGTATTGGCCAAGAAAATCTTTATCAATGCACCCCTACTTACAAACTCTCCCGCATATGTGTTTTTGAATGAGGATAGGACATAACTTCTCAGCCAACTGCCTTCTTGCACTGGTTAAGTTGTTGGAGAACAGCAATTTGTGGAAGTGGTGCTAAAGAAAGTACAATAAGGTGAAGGAAGGTAAGAAGACTGAAGGCTAGGGGCCCAATTGACAAATGAATTAGATTGCAATTTGTGGCCCAGAGGAATTGTCTCTAAAAAATAACTGGTTAATTTGCATTCAAAGCTGAATGGAGAAACAAAAGATTAAAATATAGGGAAAAATATGGCAGTTTCAAAGATAAGGCTACAGGAGAAGACTAGACAGCAAAGCAAGAAAAGTTAGCTATGTTGACTGGAAGGGTGGCTGAGCTTGCATACTTAGGTTTCTATACTAGCAGGTTCTATCTAGGGAAGTGGAAGGAAATTAAAGACATGCACAACTGAAACAGTGAGTTTCGAAGTACAGGTGCTCTTGATTGGCCTGTTAAAATAGAGAGAATCTGACAATTGGCTCTGTTGGTTTTCTAGGGCCAGATAAAATTGGCCTTGTAGGTACATCCACTTTGGTACTGTAACACCTGAAAACTAGTGTCTTGCTTGAGAACGGTGATAAAAATAGCCAGGGTGTGTTAGTTAGATCGCTTACAGAGTCCATGGAGATATTTTTGTGCCTTTAAAGGTAAAGCAGAACACCTAAGCACTGAACAGGGAGGTAGCTAAACCTAGCCAACAGGAAACACTAGGCAAAACACTGTGTTTGGACTCCTACCTCTCTCCAGAACTTAGGTGCCTGTTCCATGGGTGAACACTAGACTCGGGATCTAGACTACCCAGAGCGTAGATACCTAATTGGGGGTAACAAGGTGTCTACCTTTTGTATAACGGTGTAGTGTCCAGAGCAGTTGCCCAAGAAGTGGGGGACCTGAGTTATAAGTCCTCCTCAGCCTGAAGGGGTTAAAATGAATACATCTCCCACTTGCCAGGAAAATACCTTAGCCCTGGTGCAGACAGAAGTGACAATTTTTGCCTAATCTGGCCACAGAAAGCAGTTCATAGCTGTGACCAAACACAAGTGGCATGGCTGCAAACAGCTTAAAAATGGCCGATCAGGTGAAAATCTGACCCCTTATTGCATGAGGTACCAGATAAAGAGATTCCAAAATGCAGCATCTTCTGTAACTTACGCCTGTGGAGCTCCCAACCTGTCACTGTTTTCAGAGTGGAAGGGGGAGAAAGGGAAAGGAGTAAATTCAATCTGGGGTCTTTTCAGCCCCTGCTGGGGGCCCCCCTGAGTACTGGAGTCCCCTCTAAGGTTGAGGGGGCTCCCCCGAAGAATTAGCTCTCTCTGCTGCCTTTCCCCCCTCCCATTCTGAAACCAGTAAACACTGGCAGACAGCCATGGCCATTGCTAGGGAAAACCAGCTGCAGGCTCCCAGTGGGAGATTCCCCTCCCCCCTGGAACCAACAGTGAACTTCTTTTTCATTTGGAGTAACACTGTAACCTGAACACTGCAGAAATAGTTCTGAGTTACATCTTGGAGCTGCACTTCTGTCTGCACCCACCAGGCTCTAAAACAGGGTTGGTGTTCTACCTCTGCGCATCCTGTCGATGTCATGCTGAGCAACCACAAGTGAAAGATTCTTGTGGCCAGGGGAGCAAAGAAAAGGGAGCATTACTGATAATGGTACTACTCTGGAAAGGCACAGAGTAGTACCATATGTTCCAGTCCCTGATGCTGGCATTTTTTAGGCATTTTATATTAGAGAGTCATGGAAAGGAAACAGAAATGATCCTGGTGGTAGGGACTGAAACCAAAGTCTCTTCTGATTTAGAAGAGTGCCTTGAGCACTGAGCCACAGACTGCTGTTTTTCCATCCCCTTTTTTACTCTTCTATGCCCCCATGATTCTTGTATTCCCTTATGCTCATTAAGCCAGTTTCAGCAGAAAGGATAGGGTATGCCCCAAACCAAACTTGTGTAGCCTGGTGGTCAGAGCATTTCTTTCTGAAATAGGAAATGTGGATTTCCTCAGGCCAAGACCCCACGGGTAAAGATATTTGTCAGTATGGTGAGTGGTGGCAGTGATAATGACAGCAGCTTCTGGAACTAGGGCAATTAACATTACTGCTGCTCATCCTGTTGCCAAATTTCCAAACCTGTAGGGATCCCTGTGGGCTGGATCCAAAATGTGGAGCTGTGGCTCATATTCCTGGAAATTTTGCAGTGGAAGGAGTGGTGGCTGTCATAGCGCCATATCAGATAACACAGCCACCACCAAATTATAGCCTCAGAAGCCAGGTGATATGGCTCCATGCTCCAGATTTTCCCTGTGGACTGGCCCCATACTCTGGATCTAGCCTGCAGACTGGCTCTGCACCACTCATCCAGTCTCAGGGCTGGATGAGTTGAACACCACTGAGCTTTCATCCTTTTTTCTTTTGCGTGTCCACATGCTGATCTTCATCCATTTTATAATGGAAGATCCTCCTGGAAGTCTTCTGTTCATGGGTAGAACCCTCTCTTCACTTTCAAATGCTAGAGCCACAAGTATCTATTTCCCTTGCATCTTGGTCTTCTACCGTCCTATAATTCAGTTACTTGGGTACCAAATAAGTACCTCCACTTCCTCACTACTTTCTCTGGGACCACTGCAATATACATTCTTCTAGGCGTTTTTTTTCTCCTTCCTTCCTTCCCTCCTTCATTCCCCAAACTTTCTTTTTTGTTGGGCTTCCACACATTCATTGTGATCACCAGAAGCCCTTCATCCACACACCTTGGTCCAACCTTTTGTTTTTAGCCTCTGTTTCCTGTTCTCCCCCTTCCATGGGTAGGTGGGAGCATTTCTTCCTTCTTCTGACTTAGCCCCTGACAGACCACCAAAAGAAAGTCCTCATTCCTCTTAAACCAGTCCCCCTTTATTCTTTATGTATTTTTTAAATCTGTTCTCTCTCCAGAAACTAGTGATGAAGATTTCATGAAAGTGTTCCTGCTAGATAGCAGGATCAGAGAAACTGAACATGCAATAGCTATAGGAGATTGTCTGCTACCATTTCCCTCCCTTGGCTTGGAATTACATCTCTATGGTAAGGCACAAAGACTATTGAAAATCAGGCCCCATACTATCACATTTTTCCGCAACTACAATAATTGTATATCCCTCAAGAGTCCTACCTTTTCTGCAATGCCTAGATAAAGTGTTACACAGACACACATGTCCTTCACATGATTTTCTGAAACATTTCAATTCTAAAACTAATTAAGGTAAATCCTCATTACTTAAATCAACTTATTAAAATAAAAAAATTAATACACAGTGCAAGCTTGAAAATTAATGGCTTTAAATTACTAACTTAACTGATCATTTTCATACCTGACATATTGTATAAGTAATCCCACAGTTGTTCTTTATCCATGTAGCTCTCAAAACCAATGCCAAGTGATTTGGGTGATGAAGTACAATAGGATAAAACTGTAAAGATTACTTCAATCCAGCTAGGCTCTTTGCAATTTATCTGTTCTATGTAGGAAATCTGCCCATCACATTTTGGTGCTTCAGTTTCTTGAAAATAAATAAAATTGTGGTTAGTATAATTTCCAATTAATCCAAGTCATGGTAATTGAAAGTACCAATCATAACTTACTTAAAATGTATCTAAACAATATTTCAAACTACAATATCACTTGCAAAAATTGAAATCTTCTCTTCTTCTACATAATGACATTTGATTGGCAACTTGAGTTATGTGCAGCGGTTAAATAAAGGCCAGAAGAAGGTTTCAGAAGCAACAATATGGTATATTCCTATATTAATTCAAAATATAATTAGAATGTGTATAATAATAAATATAAATTAAAATAGAGGTAATTTTTTCTGTAACCATTAGGCTTGTGATCAAGAAGTTCTTATCACTTGGGTCATACTCATTACCATTGAATTAATCAAATGAAATTATATAAATCAATGAGTTAATATAAAATTCAGATGAAATGCCAGCTGCCGAACGCTCCCAAACAACAATTTGATTTATTTTGGTATTTAATTCCTTGTTATATACAAAAATAATCCAATCAGTTCTCCAAAACAAACAACCAAAAAAACCCCTCAGCCACAGTAAAAAGCAACCAGGGCTCATGGTAGAGGTGATATCTTTTATTAGACCAAGAAGATTTTTGCAAAAAAAAAATATATATATTTAATTGCAAGCTTTTGGGCACAAACTCCTTTCATCGGGCATTGGAGAAAAGATTGTAAAAGTTCTCCTGGGTAGAAATGAAAGTTCATATTTCATAGGATTTCATGGAGGAGTCAATAGAAGGAAAACTCCTCTGGGCAAGCAGTTCTTAGCTAGTAAAGAGTCTCTCACCTTTCTTGTGAGGATCTGTGATGATGCAAATTAGCTTGAACAAAGGCAGGAGCAGTATTTCAGGTTTCAGGTGGTCAAAGTTGCTTCCTCCTTGGGAAAATATGAGTATTTCATTTTTAAAAATCAGCTAAAAATCAATATCTTCCATGTGTCAGGTATCCACGTTGTAGCCATATTGGTTTGGAGGAAAAACTAATCAGGGCTCAGGGAAGAGGTGATATCTTTTATTAGACGAACAAGATTTTTGCAAAAAAGTTTCTTTAATTGCAAGCTTTCAGGCACAGGCACCCGTCATCAGGCATTGGAGAACAGATTGTTAAAGTTCTCTTGGGTAGAAATGAAAGTTCATGTTTTCATAATTTGCATCATCACAGAACCTCACAAGAGAGGTAAGAGACTCTTTACCAGCTAAGAACTGCCTGCCCAGAGGAATTTTTCATCTACTGACTCCTCTCTGAAATCCTATGAAATATGAACTTTCATTTCTCATTTCCTTCTATGACCAGGTGACATACCACCTGGACAAAAGGGTCATATATTTGAACTTTAAAAAAGCATTTGGCCTGGTGTCCCATGATTTCCTCATGGAAAAATTGGGCAACTGCGGCCTCGACTACTCCACAGTCCAATGGCTGGGCAACTGGCTCTGAGGTCAGATCTGAAGTGTGGTAGTTGATAGAACCGAATCAACATGGCACTCGGTGACTAGTGGTGTCTCCCAAGGCTCTGTTCTCAGACCTGTACTCTTTAATGTCTTCATAAACTATCTGGACACTGGTGTCAAAAGCAGACTGGCCAAGTTCCCTGATGACACTGAACTTTGGGGAAGAGTGTCCACACTTGAGGATAGGCTGGTGGTCCAGGCCGACCTTGATAGGCTTCAAGGTGAGTGAATGAAAACCTGATGGCATTCAATACAGAGAAACGCAAGGTGTTCCACCTTGGGAATAAAAACTCGCAGGACACATATAGGCTTGGCAATGCTACACTCGCTAGCACCATGACCAAAAGAGACTTGGGGGTCATGACTGACAACAACATGAATATGAGCCACCAACACAATACCACAGCTGGCAAAGCGAACAAAATTCTGGCTTGCATCTACTGATGCACCTCGAACAAGACCCAGGATGTCATCCTCCCACTGTACTGAGCCTCGATGAGGCTCCAGCTGGAGTACTGCATCCAATTCTGGGGTCCACAATTTAGGGAGGACATGGAGAAGCTTTAAAGAGTCCAGAGGAGAGCCATGCACATGATCAGAGGGCTGGAGAACAAGTCTTATGAAGAGAGGCTGTGAGCTATAGGACTGTTCAACCTGGAGGAACGCAGGTTCCGGGGTGACATGGTGGCAGCCTACAAGTACATAAGGGGTATGCATCAGGATCTGGTGGAACACCTGTTCAACAGAGCACCCCAGGGGATGACAGGACCAAATGATCACAAACTCCTGCAAGACCATTTTAGGCTGGACATAAGGAAAAACTGCTTTACTGTCCAAGCCCCCAAGGCCTGGAACAGACTCCCCCGACATGGTGCAAGCACCTACTCTGGACACTTTCAAGAAACATTTGGATGCTTATCTTGTTAGGATCCTTTGACCATAGCTGACTTCCTGCCCCTTGGGTAGGGGGCTGGACCTAATGATCTTATGAGGTGCCTTGCAGTCCTAATGTCTATAAACCTATTTGTTCAAAAACCACAACCTTATAGCTGAGGCTCCAAGGAGGAAACCCTTGGGCAGGAAGAAACACCACGTTCTTTACGCTCCAAACACGTCAAGAGATCCAAGCGGACCCAGAGGAGGAGGCGACGAGTGCTCGTCATAGGAGACTCCAACCTGAGAGGTACAGAAGGGCCCGTCTGTCGCCAGGACCCCTCAACATGAGAGGTATACTGCCTGCCCGGAGCAAAGATTCAGGATGTGAAGGAGGTAATCCAGGCCAGGATCAAGCCCACTGATTACCACCCCATGGTCCTAGTCCATGTGGGTACTAATGATGCGGCCAGGAGAACCCCCGATCACCTGATGGCGGACTACAGTGCTCTGGGCGGCGTGCTGAGGGAGTTCGGTGCACAGGTGGTACTCTCTTCCATCCTACCAGTGAACGGACGCGGAAGACGGCATGAGAACTGCATCCGAGAGATCAACTAGCGGCTTCGGCAGTGGTGTCTCGAGGCAGGCTTCGGCTTCCTGGACAACGATCCGCACATCACGATGAGGGACATGCTCAGTTGGGATGGGCTTCACCTGTCCCCCAAAGGTAAGCGTGTGTTTTCGTCTAGGTTGGCGGATCTCCTCCGGCGGGCTTTAAACGAGGCTCACCGGGGGGAGGGGAAGATGAGGGCGGGGGAAGCTGTGGACCACCAAACCATGTGGCACCCACAAAGACAGCCCAGCCTGAAGAAAGAGAACATTGGGAACACGCAAGACGCAGGGCGGCCAGCACTATGGCATAGGTAAGACACGAGAAGGTAAGAAATAAAGGGCCCCTTGGGATTCCGAGCGGGGGGGCAGCAAAGGCACCTGTCGCAGGGCTCAAGTGCCTATATACTAATGCTAGGAGCATGGGAAACAAGCAGGATGAACTAGCACTCCTGCTTGCACAAAACACCTACGACTTAGTAGGGCTAACGGAAACCTGGTGAGATTTGTCCCACGACTGGGCAGTACATATTGAGGGTTATAGATTGTACAGAAAGGACAGGGTGGGGAAAAAAGGGGGAGGGGTTGCGCTCTATGTCAATGAGCAATATACGTCAACCCTCATCAAGACGGAATCCAAGGATGAGGAAGTAGAAGGATTGTGGGTTAGGCTACATGGGGGGCAAGGAGAAAGGGATTTGGTGGTAGGGGTCTGCTACAGACCCCCACATCAAGGGGAAGAAATAGATGCGGGGCTCCTGAGGCAGCTCT